CATCCCATAGGCTTCAGTCACCCCTGCCTGCCCAGCTAAGCTCTCAGCAACCAGGAGTGGCCAGCTTCAGCTGCATGAGAAGTGGCACTGTCCACTACCACCCTGGGCCAGGGAGAGTGACTGAAGATGCAATGGGAGCAGCTGGCATATGGGAGAAGGACAGAGCCCCTCCCCTGCAGATAACGTGAGACAGGGAGGAGGTGAGTAGAGGGAGGAGGCTAATCACTAATGAGGGATTGAATTACCAGGCCAAGGACTCAGACCCAAGATTGCCCTGCCACCTCCCCCATCCACTTCAGAGTAAGGAGGAGTCTGTTAATGGGACCAGAATGGATGACTGTAAAGGCATCACATGGGTAAAGACAGTTTCTCATGCAGCTTTCCTTTGGCTTTTTATAGGTTAAAACAGGCCCCTTGAAGGATTTCACTCAATCAGCTGTCTGGCGGCACAGATTCCTGGTAAGAAAGCAGCGCCATTTTGCTCTACACTAGCTCTAGTTTGCATATGATTTGAAGGTTTAATTCCATGCAGAGCACGTTACAGAAATCTAACCTCAAGGTGACAATAGAAGACAGATAATCATGAAGAGGTCCTTATTCAAGAGAAAAGGACACAACCTTCTTGCCAGTCACAGCTAACAAAGAGCTTGTCAAGCAAAGGTCACAAAAGCAGCCTCTGAATTTCAGACATTTTGTTACTTGATAGAGGACTACACTCTTATGGTTTTATTGTGGTTGATCTTCTGAATGTGGATTTGAATTATTGGGAATGTTTTTCATTATTATGCTTTAATACATTTAAGGATACTTAGGTGTATTAGAGTAAATGAATGTATTTCAGGTTTCTCTTTATTCATCATAATAACACACAAAGAGGAACAAGTCCATTTTTTCCCCAAGTGCAGGTCACCTTTCATGTGTATTGTGGCTCATTTGAATATTTATAAGACATATGTGTTTTCATATTGTCATTCCATTGATAACATATTTAGAATGATAATCCTTAGAAATTAGAAATATTCTATAAATAGATATTTTGAAATCCAAGCCTCTTTGCTTATTTTTAAATCTAGGATGGAGGGAAGTGTAACCTTCTTTAGGAAATAATATGAAAGGCTCAAAAGGCAGTACATTGTTGACAGTTTTTTTGTGGTTTATAATTTGAAAACAGCTAAATGGGTGTTTAATATTTTTAATGCTTTGGCTTGTGGACATATGTGCCATATTTCAAATAGCACCACATTTGTGAGGCCAGGTTATAAACTGCCTGGCAGGCCTGTCTTCCAAGCATAGCTGTAGTTATATTTGATCCCCATCTTGTATTTATTGTCTCCTTCAACTTGCATCTGTAAAGAGTGATCAGGTTGCCTTTCACTCTGTATTTTCACTTGTAGAGTAGCAAGGGGGAATGCAGGTTAGGGGAAACCACTGCTTTTATGTGGAAGTGATGGACTAATTTCTCACAGTCTAAACTCTGTAGCAATTATAGGCCAGAACACTGTGTACTTCTTTCTGACTGACAAACTGGATTTTATTACCTGGGGCTTTGTCACCCAGGACAATGATATCAGCATGGAATGGCTTTGTTAATACAGTCAGTTTCAATGTCAAGGAACCCATCTAGGACAGATAAAAGATAATCTGAGATGGCAAGTAGCCAGGAAAGTAAAGATGCAGAAGTTCAACGTTTTGTCAAACTTTTTAAAGAGACAGGTAACCTTACAGTCTTTCAACTGTGGGACTTTAAGTTTGTTTAATCACAATTAGAATAAAAATCCCTTATTATTCTAATTGAGCTTGTGTGACAATAGTAATCTTTTTTTAAACTGTGAAAAAACAACTACAATTTCTTGGTGATTTCGTATCTTCTTTTAGTACAAAGCACCACTCCAATGTTAAATATTTGAAAGAATAGCCTCTAAAGTTTTCTTTGCACTATTTGTTGTTTAAAACTTTCTATAAGATGTTCTGCTAGTAAATAATTTGCACTGGATTGAATATGCATGTCTGTGCTCCTCTCTTTAACAATTTATACATAAAATGATG